TGGAGAGCTGTCAGGGTCCCTGGATGGAAAGCCATAACTTGTGCATAGGACTCTTTGCAGGATACATCTTTGTGCTTTAAAGGGACAAATTGTTTGGCAAACAAGTGTGCAAGAAGCATTTAGCAAAGGGAACGAGCTGAGGTTGCTTGCAGGTCTCTGGGAAGGCCCATGGAGGTAGCGGAATGTGGCAGAATCAGCAGATGTTTATTTATTTGAGTGCTATGGTGCACCAGACTCTGGGTGCTGAGCTGTTTCTTTGTGTGTGTGGCAAAAAGTATATAATATTTGCCTTTTTAACCATTAGTGTACAGTTCAGTGGCATTGAAGTACATCCCCATTGTTGTGCAACCATCACCACCATCTACCTCCAGAACTTTATTATCATCCCCCCTGAACCTCTGTACCCATTAAATATTAACTCCTCACTCACCCCTTTCCCCAGCCCTGGCAGCCCCACCACTCTGCTTTCTTTCTCTGTGGATATGACTGCTTTAGGTACCTCATATAGGAGGAATCATACAGTATTTGTCTTTTTGTGTCTGGCTTGTTTTACTTACTAACATTCCATTGTATGGACAGACCACGTTTTGTTCATTCATCTGTTGATGGACATTTGGGTGGATCTTAGTTTTATTTAGTTTTTATGGGTAGATATTTCTATTCTCACTTTACCTGTAAGAGAATTGGGTTAAGAGACTTTATATTCAGTCTCCAGATGGTGGTGACTGGGCCAGGGTTTAGTAAAGTCAAGTCTGTGGACTTCAGACAGGCCTTGGGTTAGAATTGTTTGGCAGGAGGAGAGCTGTTGAGAAAGGGGGTGGTGGTGGAGCAGGATGAAAGGGGTGTTTGGCAAACTGTCCTGGCCATGTTGGTGCCCCCTATGCAGAAAGACCAGGAGGCCACAGGGTGGGGGGATGGCACAGAGATTAACTTGGGAGGAGGAAAGAGCCCAGGAGCCACGTAGTTATGCTAAGACAGGAGCACTCAGTGGCCTCTAATATCAGTTATCCCTTTGATGTTTTCAAGGGAAGGAGGAATGATAAACTTTGCTTGCAGATGCAGAGGGAAGCTCAGAGAGGCCAGAGTTTATCCCGGAGTCTCTGAGGTAGTAAGCGAGAGAGCCGGGGCTAGAGCCCAGTTCTCCTGCCTCATATAGTGCTCCCCTATTGCCCTGAGTGGCCTTTGTGAGCTGTACAAAGCCTCCCACCTGCTCCTGTCTTCTCCCCTGCCTAGCTTTCTGCTTAGCCCAGCCCCAGGTGGGTCAGGCTCTGGGCACGGGCTGGAGGCTGCTTGGCAGTGTTGCTGACTCACCCAGCCCCCACAGCACCTGTCCTACGTGAGTACAGATCCTGCTGGGGTCCAGACGTGGGCTTATCCTCATCTCTTCTTACCTGGCATGAGGTCTGGGCCAAGGAAGGACTGCGCAGGGAGTTGGTGGAGGGGCTCCCGTCCATCTGGGAGGTATATATAGCTCTGAGCTCAGGCCCAGTGTGTGGGATGGACCCCAGGGAGGCAGAGGCAGAGGGCCAAGCTGCCAAGCTGACTCAAACATCTCACTGAGGCTGCTCTCCTCCGTCTTCTCATCTCCCTTCGGGGATCCTCCTGTGCCCGAGCCCCTGAGAGCCCTGGTCTTTATTTTTCTTTAAAAAATATATATATATTTCTTTATTGATTTCAGAGAGGAAGGGAGAGGGAGAGAGAGACAGAAACATCAATGAGAGAGAATCATTGATTGGCTGCCTCCTGCACGCCCCGTACTGGGGATTGAGCCCACAACCTGGGCATGTGCCCTTGGCCAGAATCGAACCCGGGACCCTTCAGTCCGCAGGCCAACGGAGAGCCCTGGTCTTTACACTCACCCACATCTAGAGGCCATCTGCGGTTTTCCAGGTGGCGGCCGGTGGGGCACGGGGTGGGAGCTGAGAACAAGCAGCAGGAAGAAGGCTCGGCAGGACAAACTGACTCTAGAGTGCTCAGACGAAGGTTCTAGACCTGCCAACTCTGAGGACAGGAGAAGGCCTGCTCTCGGCCCTGGTCCTGCGCGCCCAGAGAAGCACACTGTCAATGGCCAGGCAGACATGCAGATGCCATGCACAGCCGCAGGACAGATTAACGCCTGTTATTTCTGAGCCCAGCCTCCCACACTTGTGGACCGGCTTCCAGGCCAGGGCTGCTAGCCCTCTCCTATTCACGGCTGCTTTCATTTTTGCCCTGTCACTGTGTAACCCTTGCCCTGGCACTGACACACGCTGGTCATTCTGACTGCCTTCAGCCAGGCCTTGGCCTCTGGCCCCATGGGCAGGTGTGGGGAGGTGAGCATGGGGCAACTTCTCTCCTCCATCTGCCCTCACACTCTGCCTTTCCCTCTCCAACAGCTCTGCTTTGGCCCTGCTGTCTTGCTTTCTCCTTCCTGCTTGCAAGAGCCTGTGGTTGGCTCTGTCTTCCTCTGCATTCCTTTTTGCCCCCCCCCATGCCTCTTGCCCTCCTGGCTGTTGCTCTTAAATCTTTCTGCCACTCTTCTCTCTCCGTATGTCTCTCTGCTTCTCTTCTCCTTGCTTTCTCCTTTGTTTGACCAGGTGCCTGTGGCCTAGACTGCCCATTCTGTTAGCAGTCAGTCAGTTCTTAACACGTGCCCACCACTCTGAACCAGGCTTGGGCTGAGGTCTGTGGTCTAAACGATTTCATAGTTTAAGGGGAGAGGCAGGAGAAACATCTTTGGAAAGTAAATTAATGACACTTACATTGCACACAGCCATTAAACCAAAGGGAATTTTAATGGAAGGAAGTGGCACTTGAGCTGGTAGAGGAGGGAGGTGTGTGCTCAGACAGAAGGGAATGAGCATTGGCCCAGAGACGGGACTTTGCATGGTGATTTTGGGAGAGCTGGAC